CGTGCGCGCCCCCGGACTGCCTCCCCCGCTGCCGGGGGGCAGCCCGCCACCCCCCGCCCCTCCCGCTCTGCAATGTGGGAGGCGCAGCCTGCCCAACTCGCGAGGGCGTTTGAACGGGGCCTCAAGGCGCGAATTTCTCGAAGCAGCAGCGGCCACCTCGCCCGCCCCTTCCGGGCGTTGCAAGGGGGCGGCACAGATTGCAGGGAAGGCTGCCCCGCTTGCTATTTTGTGCGGACGCTTGTGCTCCGCGACTTCCCTGGTAGCCCGCAGGGAGTTCAGTCATGCAAGAAGGATGGTTTGCAAACAGCAGTGACTAGGTTGACGCAACCAGACAAATTACACATTGGATTAGCCGGTGTAAACTCAGCCTATCACAGCTGCCTAGAAATCCATGGAAAAACAGAACTTTTTAGTACACTATTCTCTTCCCCTCAGCCCCTCCCAGTATTCTTTTGTATGAAACATTACTTTTGCTCCCTATTTCAATGTTTAAAAAATAGCTGTCCTGTTATGAATTTCCATGGCACAAACTTCCGACGTCCACACGCTGCAGATTTCGAAGGAGGCGGCAGCTCGAGCGCCGCCGCTCACGACAGGCCTGCGAAAAATCAGAGGGAGCGCCGCTGGGGCATCGGGCTGAGGGCGAGCGAGTTGCTTATTAGACGCCGACAACGGGGTCCAGCCGCCTTCGCATTTTTCAAAGAGGCTGTCTACCTTGCACGCTGAGACAAGATGGCACGTTAGGAAGAACAACCTGCATAAGTTGACTTCATAGACTACTGTTGCTGCGTCTAAAGGTAGTATTGATAGAGAAAAATCACCTATCTTTCCCAACTCAAAGTCAATGCTGTCTTACGAAAGCAGTTTTGCTTAGTTGCAGCTTTCACTTCCGCTCTAACAGGAAGGTGGAGAGTTACATTGAACTCTAAATGGAAGGATTGCCTTCTCTTTACTTTTTATTACTCTATGGGCAAGTTGACGTCAAAAGAGATGGAAGAAGCAATTAGTCTCCGCTTTTGCAGCACAGCGCGACGAATGTTATACCGTACAGTGCTGGGATACGCGTGCGTGGCTATTTTCAGTAACAGGATCATATGAATAAGGGTCGTAATTTTTTCCCCTACTTCTATATCTCGGGTGGAACTGATGGTTGCCCCTAAAACTGATTATAAAGTTTATTATTTTGCAGCATCTGTAATTTCGGAATAGCAGAAATTCCCAAAGAGACAGTGAGGAGATTGAATGAAAAATGGGAATTCAGGTTTTATCTAAATTATTTTCTGTAGAGAATATTTTAAAAACCTACCAATTAAATAGAAAATAGAGTCCATCATTGTTAGTCTTATACTGACAATCACAAAAACAAGGGATTAAGAAACATTTTCAAATTCTAATTTAAACACATGCATTGTTTTTTTTTTTCAGAATTTTGCAATATAGTCTACTGTAAATACTGCAAATGTGAAATAAAGCTAAAGCTACATACATGTTGCAACAATTCAGTGCAATCAGGAGATGTTTACCTTGTGCTTTCTTTTAAGGCATAAGTAAGTGGCAGCAGCTAGCCAATGTTGGCTGATCTAGAAAGATTAACTGTGGCAAGCCACTTCCATGTCACTGCCAGAATCCCTGCATGGTTGCATCCAGGTAATTGGCCAAGAGTCAAGCTCAACTCACAGGCAACTTTGTTTGCTTTTCTGGGGAGCAGAGAAATTAAGTTTTTCTCCTTTAGTCAGTATGTGATCAAATTGCTTCATAAACAACATGTTTCCCTTCCTCTATAGCTGATAAAGTTGCAGGTTGAGAGTTTGATTACAAAAAAACAGGGAATTCTTTCCAAGGATCTGATACTTTCAGATTCCCCTGTTAGTGTAGGCAGCTTTTTTTTAGGCAAATCAGTGATTGTTTAAAAGTATTTAAAATGCTAGTGAAAAATATATCTTCTGCCAGCTCCACCCCACATGTTGTCCCTGATAGTTGACTTGAATTTCCTGCAAATGTTTTTACAGAAAAAGAGCCAAACCCAAGATTTGGTTATATGTGGAAATGGATTGTACTGGGCCATTTGGTTTGTTGCTTGATTAGGCAGTTGTGCCACAGTTGGCATGTTGCATGAATGTTCTTCTGTATAATTGGCTTTTCATACACCAACCTATGCCATCATTAACCATGGCTTGTGGAATAAACCAGCATTGGCTGGGTTCACAACACACTAAAACATAAAATCAGATATACAAACCAGGTGAGTTCAATTAACATGCTAAATCACAGTCTAGCATGACTGTCTTCCGAAATATACATCATTGTGGGCATTCTAGAATGAATTTGGGAAAAGAGAGGGATGCTAGAATGAAATTACGCTTTGCCAAAGTGAACTTTTTCTCTGAGGTAGCTGGGCTTATTAGGCAGTCCTTTGAAAAGAAAATCTACCCTTTTTTCCATGGGACTCTGTGTAGGATTCAGTTTACTGAGAAGGAATGAGTTAACTGCCTTGTTCACATGACATGACTGGATCCGTCTGAGCATTATAGGGTGGATGGACTAATCATGTGGGTAGGAATTTATGTCTCCACCCTTTTCCTCCACTTTTGGCTTCCTGTTTTATAAGGAACTTGGATTACCGGAAGTTTTACTCTCTTCTCTTTTTGGAAGAGCTGGCAGAGGTCACAGAGCTAGGGGCCCACTCAGCAAATGTAACGGGCAAGCTGGCCAAACTATGATCCCATTGGGGTTCTTTCAAGTTTTAGTAATTACGGTAAGTGGAAATTTAAGGGAAATGGCTTTAGAGGCTGAAGGAGAAAGTGAAAATCTGGGGGATATGGTCATAGAGGCTGAAGGAGAAAATCTGTTACTACTGTATTTGATTTGTAATTATTTTGAATTTGTTCATCTGAATTGGGTTGTTTCTGTGGGCCAGAAGTAAATAATGGAATTGTAGCAGATACAGGAGAAGATATCGATGTTAGAGCACTTAGATAATAGTTGTCTCAATTTTGTGCTTGTTTACCTTTCTCTGACTGTTGATTGATTCTTCTTCCCTTGAATATTTGGCAGCAATCTTGGTAAAACTTTGCCTCTGGAAAAACTTTTTCAGTGTTTGGATCTTTTGTTAGTTGGTGAGCAGTTTCTGATGAGTATACTGTACAGAGTTTTATTTCCTTGGATAATGTGTTTTCGTTCTCTTCTCTAGTTCTGTATTAATATTACTTCAAGGAGATGACTGTGTTAGAGATAAATGAAAATTACATTTTTAGCCCTTTCATTAATATTAACTCCCTTAACACCCAGGAGATATTTAAAATAGGGCAGAGTGGCTGTATATGCTCACTTCCAAACAAATCAAATCAAACAAGTTACCAGTCACACAAATAAGGGGAGACTGATAAAGAAAGACTTCCCCAGGAATATTTTGTTTTTCTCCTAGAGGGAAAAATCCATTAAAGTGACCAATATACAGATTTCCAGTTGCAAACCAGCCAAACTTATTAATCAGTTGCATAGTAGTAAAGGGTCTTGTTAGATTAACAAACAATTAACAATTGCCCCAAAGCATTCACACATTAATATTCCATATTCTGGAAAACTGCCAGGCACATTAACTTCCCACAGTACAGATTTCTTAAACTGTCTGCAGTTGTGGACTGTTAAATAGAGCATTTGAAAAATGAAGGGATCACCAATTAAATAAACACTCCTTGCCTGCATTTTCATCTTTAAGAACATTGGAGTTCATACTTTTGGCCAATAAAAATAATTAGCATTGTATGCCCTATTATCCCTTCCATTTTTAATGGCCTTTTAAAATTAAATTTTGTATTTAAAATTTTTTAATCTAATATTGTATTTATTTGACATTTGAATTATTTTAGGTGTCCCATTACTCTTAGCACAAGTGTCAGCCTTGTGAGGTAGTCAGACAAGAAGTACACCCGGGAGTACTAGCTCTAACTTTAGTGTAAGATTACATTAATAGAATCTTGCAAATCTGAAAGTACACCTCTTCCCCCTTGCCTTTACAGTCCACGAAACTAGGGAGGGTCCCTTCTGAACCACTTTTGCCGGCCCTCATCCTTCAGACTCAAATTTTATTTATCAGATTGTTGTCTAGGTTGCGGCTCTTCCTCCTGTCTCCCAAGGTCATTCCCACACAGCATTAAAACAAACTTGCTGGTCAAAAATTTCAGTAGAAATCTCTTCAGTATTAGGGGACTGTGGGTGAGTGGATCTCCAGCCAATGATATCCCATTTTTAGATAATAATTGTTTATTTTGTATCTTGTGCAAAATCTTGTGCTCCTCTTAGTGCAGCACATGTAACAGTCATAATTGCTCTGTTGACAATTGTCAGTTTTCTGAAATTTAATACTTAAGTATCAACCTAAGTATTAAAATTCAGAAAACTGACAAGTATTATCACTCCACTCTTCAGTGAATCTGTAAATTCAGCCAGTCATCAATTTTCACAAAGCAGCAGCCTGACAATATGAGGAGGTAGAAACTGAGGTGGTGAGCAGGCTTTAGGGCAGCTGTGTTTTGCTTGTTGTGTTTTAGCCATATGCAGTCCCATCTTGTAGTGTCAGTCCATCATTAGATAACTCCTCATATTAAGATTTCCAAATGTAAATATCTCCAATTTTTCATTTCCAAAGACAGCCATTTAGCCCCAATATTCTTCCCTTTCCAATTCCTCTACCATGGACTGAAATTATTGTACAGTGGATGGATAATAATACCATCTGAGCCTTCAGGTTCTTGAGCAGCCTTCCTGAATCTTAAGGTCCATAGTGTTTTTTAACCATGACAAAACAATTACTTAACACTTCATAGAAAAGGTATACAGTGATCAATATTTTTTAAAAAAGCAGTATTTCTACTTTTCCACAACGAATTAGCCCATAGTTTTTTAACCACGACAAAACAATTACTTAACACTTCATAGAAAAGGTATACAGTGATCAATATTTTTTTAAAAAGCAATATTTCTACTTTTCCACAACGAATTAGCCCAATTATTCTGTTGGAAATTGTTGAATGAACAGAGATCAGTTTATTACTAGTAAAAGAAATATATTTCAACCATTTAATACCAGAATGTTTATACATGAGGTATTCCTGATAGATTTTGCTCTATTTGTCAGAAGCAAGCTATAAACCATTCAGGCTGCAATAAAAATAGTTTTCTGTCTGATTTTCATTTGACCTTTCAAATATTGACAGAAGTTTGATATTTCAGAATAAGATTCACAAAGGATCATTCTACATATCAGATGCTTTAGTAGAATTTAATGAGCTGTAGGAATTTTAAGGTTTTGACTAGGAATGTATGAATATATATAATACTTAAAGCTTTCCTTACTGAATCAGCAGTTTGACATCATTTAAAGGTTACATTTGTCCAAACTGATGTAATTTGGGGGAGATAGGCGGCATATAAATTTAATAAATAAATAAAATAAGCAATTTGGTGGTATGCTTCCATATTTTTTTGGCAAAACTGTAAATATATTTGTGTCTTTTTTAATAATAGCAACAGGTCTATAGGATTTAACATAGATATCAAGGGACAAGTAAATTTATGTCTCAGTGCAAGTATGAAAGAGCAGAACTTTTGTTATGAAATCATGATGCACATTTCATTATTTTGGTATCGTGGTTAGAAATGACACCTATGTTTAACAAGGTTCATGTTCTTTACCTGGTTTTTAGTATACTGTAATTGATATTTTAGATCTTCTCCGTGATGTTGAATTTCTTCACCATACAAAATACCACTGGACAAAATATCTGGGGAATAAGAACATCTTTATTTTTTAAATAACATTCTGCTCTGGATCCATGCTCTTCTAATGTTTTGCATGTACCTCCTGTTTGGTAGGATGTGGGTAGTTTTCAAGGCAGATGCTATATTAGAGATTCTAGCTTAACTACAATCATATGAACATGCTTGGGATAAAACTGTGCCTTGCTCGTGCTTGTGCCTTGCTTGCCAAAATGTGCAACATACTGAATGAATGTTATCCAAGGAGGCAAACTTGATTGGGCTATTTGGAGATAGAATTAATGGGGTGATAAGAGTTTTAATCAGTCGTGGGGATGGCTGGCACCCTGATGTCATTCCTGAGTTATTTGCCAATTCCATCATTCTTGGAATTTATTTATTATTTTTAAGGTTGTTTTTATATTGTATTTTAATTGATTTTATCCCCTTTGTAAACTGCCCAGAGTTGCTTTTCAACAAGATGGCGGTGACAAATTTGATATAAATAAATAAATGAAAATGATGACTGCTTGAAACAAGACTTTTCTAATCTAAGCAAAAACTCAAACATGGGGTTAAAGCAGAAATCTATTTATGCATACTATAAATAACAAGTGTGATTGATTTATTATATTATTTACAGTATTTCTAGCCTGTCCCCATCAGCAAGGGTACAACGAAATCATACCAAACAGTATAATCTATACATTCTTTAAAAAAAAATCTCATAGGTAACCCTTTTCTTGATGATCATTTGGAAAGATGATGAAAAATTGAGGCAATTAATGAAGGATGCAAGAATGATAAGTGGGATAAACCATTATTTTGTTAAAACCAACAAACAGACATGGAAGAAAAGGAAGCATGGAGAAGTGTTAGGTGGAATGATATTGTGTATAAGAAAAAATCCATTTAAGATAATGATGGTTGCAAAAATGAGGATGAGAGGAATCTAGTAAATCCTGCTGCAAATAATTTCCCCTGTTGATTTCAAATTATAGTTCCTACTAATTAGAAATGGCAAGCTTAGGTGACCCGGGATCCTGTTTAAAGGCTGGTTGTGGTGGTATGTGCAATTAATGTTTCAGTGGTTTAGGGTGTCATCTGAATACTCCTTTATTATTATGTATGAACTGAGCCCATCATGTCTTATTCAACAAACTATGGTTTGAATGGTTTGAATAGTTGGAATAGGTAAGAAATTATCTATTTCTTAGCATGAATTGTGAACTCAGCCATAATTTCTAAATAAAAGTGGAATGAAGGGGAATGGTTTGCTCACTAAATGCTGAGAAATATTTAGAATCAACTCCAACATGTGTTATTGTTGTCAAGTTACCCTTCTCTAAGCCTAGTTATTGAGACATTGTTTTGTATCTTTCAGTAGCTCTATAAGGCACCTGAACTTTTTAAAGAACTGTATTGGAAGAGACCACTGTTTCTTACCTCCTTGAATGGTGATCTCAAGCATATCCATTATCCTCTTGTTCAAAAGGCTGCAGGGTTCTACTTTCCTTTTTTTTTTTTGGAGAAATATTCAGAATGATTGTTGGTTAATAGTCAATAAGCACCTGGATGAGAATTCCAAAAGTTTTCAGGAAGGTCTTCATTTTTAGGCCTGTTGATGGTACAACTGAGTTCTTGACAAACAACTGTATCCTACTTACCATATTTTTCCAACTATAAGACAATACTTTTTTCTAAAATCCTTACCCTAAAAATTGAAGGGCGTCTTATTCAAGGAAGTCAGTCGAGAATCGCGGTTGCAAAACTGCCAAACTTTGTTTCTGCAGAGAGGCACTATCTTTAAAATATTGATTTTTTAATTTTGGGTTGGAAAAGTGGGGGTTGTCTTGTACATGGGGGTGTCTTATTGTCGGAAAAAATCAGTATTTCATCTTTAGTAGAAAGCCATATGACATGACCCAGATCCACAGCATGAGGCTGGCAGTGAAGTAGTTGGCTTAGAGAAAAGAGAACACAAATTCTAGAAGCCCGTCTTCCATGTTAATACTGTTATCAAGAATACAGGTAGTCCTCAGTTTAAGAATGAGTTCCATTCCCAAGGTTTCTCCTTAAGTCAAATTTGTATATAAGCTGGAATAGTATTATAGTATAATACTATTGTATAATGTATTGTATAATGAATTCAAATCATTGTGTATTTAACTTGAATTTTGCTATAGTAGGCTCCGTTCTTAACTATGGGTCATCTGTAAACCAGGCATTCTTAACAGAACAAGTTGTTTATGTTGCTATATGAAAACAGAGGGTTTTTTATATAGCCTTGAAGTAGCACAAGAGTTACTGTTTTCAAGCTGCTGGTAAGTTAGTAAAATATAAGAAGCTTGCTGAGAGTGATATGATTTCTGTTTCTCTGGAAAGGATCCTGTATAGGCATCAGATGTGTTCCTCAGATCATTAATTTTTATATTAATAGTTGTTAATTGATCAAACAAGGCTATTACAATCTGAGCAATTTTAAAAGCAGTTTAAAAAGTTATTTGGCCAGAAAATCTGAAGAGGGTTAGGCAGTTAGAATATTATTTTAACTTATCTGCTGGATGTTGTTATAGACATAGCTACATAGGCTATTTTCAGAGCCAACAATATGCTTACCAGAAGCAACATTTTCCTTGCTTAGAAGGAAATAAGAAGTTGAGTGGTTTACTGTATATATAATGGTAAATTGTAATGTGGTTTGTTTTCTTTGTGCTTAATATGTTGTATGGACTTATTCAACAAAACATGGTTTAAATCATGGTGTAACAACTCATAGTACTGTAATCCAACTTTACCCGATATGAACTAAAAGCTCATATAAAAAAGGAAGAGGGAAACTTTTTTTACAAAATATATGATCACAATGCGCTTGCCCTGGTTCACACCAGACTTAATTGATCTGCCTATTCCTCCACAGACAATACTTTTGCAGCCTGGGGCTCCATACAAGCTGCAATACAAATTGCCCATTTTGTTGTGTAGTCTTCATAGGTTAACTTTTTGTTAGATGGGTTAGTTGTAGAATATTAGGGCAAATGTTAGAGGGGTGTTCTAGGTTTAAGCAGTCCATCTTTTTTTTTTTTTCATGAATTGAATTTAATTTGTACTGGTCACTCAGAATAGTTTTTATGCTAATTATCACAAAGTAATAGCCAGATTTGCCTATTGGAAGATGCAGAATCTAGTGCGATTCAACAAAAGCAAATACAACATACAGGATGACTGCTTATTTTTTATTGTTCTTTTTGTAATGTTCCATTCCTTATCTGAATGACACCGTTATCAACAATCTGAATAATACTATCCCTCTCACTTCGAGAGTATGTATTCTAGAATTTATTGCCTTAAAGAATATGTCTTTGTGGAGGATCTAAATGGTTACAAGATCATCAGCCGTTGATGAAAATTGTCTTACTTGTACTGCTGTTCTTCACAGGTAAATTTAATCCTGATTCAGTTGAACATTGGGGAGTCCTTGACAGTACCACTCATCTCTAAGCCCATGCAAATCCATGGGGTTTTAGCAGAGGAACGTGCCTTCATTCACTGGAGCGGAAGAGAGAGGAGAGAACTGACGTGCCAAGAAGGGTACCATATTCACCCAAATAAAACTCACTGCTGCATTAAATGCCACATAGGTATTGCTCTAATTTATATTCTGTTTATTTTGTTTTCATTTCAGTATTTTCAGGATTCTTACCCCTGAAAGATGTTATCTTGTACTTTTTCTTTTAAACTTCAACCTACATGCATAATACTGGGGAAAAAACCTCAGTAGAGAAAGTTTGTGGAAGTCTGGTAGCCCCTGTTAATATGTGAACATTTGTAGCTACTGACAGCTTTCTAGAGAAGAAGGAATAGTGGTACTCCTGTGTATATATTACATAAGAGAAAGGATCCAGTAAAGTAGCTCACTTTACTGAAGTACTCACTTTATTAAGAGTACTCATTTCACTCTTTGACCGAGTTCACACATTGCATTAAAGCATAGTGTGGTTTATGGTTACAACTTAATGTGAAAAGTGAGAACTCAGCCTTTGTGGTTTGTAAACAGTGTTTTATGGTTTAATATAATCTGTGAACCATGAATTTTGTGGTTTATTTAACAAAACATTACTGAAAATTGTATCTTGCGCAATTGTATCTTTGGACACACTGTGAGTGTGTGTTAGTATACCACATGTTGATGGGATGTGGCCAGAAGTATGTTAGCTTGTACAGAACAGCACAAACATCCTAAGGGTAAACCTGGGATATGTTTATGCTTGTGGCATGCTACCCCAAATATGGCAAAACTGACAGGTTACTCTTAGTGGGGAATGCTGCATATACTGCAGATATGACTAGCCTACAACTTCTCTGCCTTACTCAAAAATATGTGAAAATATCCAGTCTAGTAGGTAAGAACATTTCATTTTGAATTACCCAGATGAAAAGGGATATTAAGAGGTGGATGAAAAATACCCTAAGTCTGTGGGGAAGAATCAGTATGGTGAGACTGAATATTGCATTAAGATTAATACACAATATGAGAGCACTGCCTGTGTTGCTTCCAGTTAATTCTTTTACTCAGATTTGAAAGTTAATGGTTAAATTTTTATAGAAAGAAGAAACTTCAAGGAAATCGCTGTTCAAGTTTCAGCTCTTATATGACAATGATGCTTTTAGTTTTCCCAATTATAAAGAATATCATTGAGCTTTATTAACTTCAATCATGCATTGGAATGAAACTGATTCCATTGATTACTCACTGTTGTGGGCTCAACTATTACTTAGTATGCTTGAGCTCCTGGCAAGTTCTTGATCCTAACTATAGTAGGTGTGTAATAATTTTTCCAGCCTTATTGAGCAGAAAATTAAAACTTGTTGATAATTCTCATAAGAAATTAATGCTGTGATATACTTTTTAAATTTTAAATTGGCTAGTAATGCTTTAAAAAAAATGAGCAAAAAAGGAATTATTACTCTTAATTAGTTAATGTGACAATACCTTTGAAGAATTGGTTGAATCAATTGGCCTTTAAATGAAATAAATGAAATAAATAAATTCTGAATAGCAATATATCCAGCTTGGTATGCCCACTGTTTGGTCACAATGGCCTCTGAAACCCAGAGGCACATAGTGTGTTTGAGAAAGATTTCACTGAGACTGAAACCATAATTTATTATTATAATAAATTTTTAAAATTTACAAAAATAAATTTGGATACTGTACAAGAAATTTGGAATAATGAATTGGAATATCCTGTATTGCCCAATCAGTGATTAACTTGTAATTAAATTATTTAATTATATTAAAGTAATTAACGTATTGAAACAAAACTGTATTATTTGCTTTTTAAAGGTTTTAAGAATTTTTAGAAACATTTCATAGGATTTATAACTTCGGTTAACCATACAGTTTTTTTTTCAGACTTATTGGACCTTTCTGAAAATGTGTAAAAAAAGGTTGTCAATATTCATATCACTCCTTTAATTGGTTTGGTAGTGAAGGAATGTTAATGTTGGGTTCAGCATTGTATAGGCTCAATTTACTGTTTAAAAACTGAATGGTAACAATTTGTATTAATAAAAAACCAAGTCTTTGAAACTGGAATGGCAGTGGAATTTAGAAATTTGAATAGTTTGGCATTTTCATTCATTACTTTTTATTATATTCCTTGGCTTTCTGTTGATATTTGTGTTTTATCTTTTTTGCTTTTTTCTTTCTTTCTTTCTTTACTTTGTTTTTAGTTCTTTAGTTCTTTTTTCAATTTAAGTTTTTTTTCTTTTTAAGCTTTTGGTTATTTTATAACAGTTATATGGTGTTATATATTTGTTACTAGGTTATTAGTGTTTAATGTTAAGAAAACTGCAGTGCTTTAAAATTCAATAAATATTTTCTAAAATGAAACAAAGAGGAGGAAAGATATAATAGGCCTGAATAAAGATGATTTGAACTTGTGGTGTAGATAAATATATGCAGGTAAGTGAAAGTATAGTTAATTATGAATGTAAGGGCTAAAATTTATGTCAGGGAACATGCATTTGTTTCATATAGGTTGTTAGTGTGTATGAAAGCAGGAATTCATAATATGTTATATTTCAATGAATGGTAATAATGAAAGAACCAGGATGAATTTTGGGGAAAATTGTGCAACATTTTGAATGAATGCTAGAAAAAATGGTTTTTTGTTAGGTGGACATGAATAGGTAGGTGAGACAATAGAGAACAGGGAAAAGGATTGAGCTATTGAAAACTCAGGAATGAATGGGAATTGTGACTGTTGACTGTTTCCTTAGAAAAAGGTCTGTCAGTTTGGAATATATGGTTAAAGCAGAAGTGTATTGATACATATGTAAGAGGAATGAATATAAATCTAAAAGGAATTAACAAACCTAAAAGCACAAAGGATATAAGGATGATGAGAGGGAATGATCATTATTTAGCTGTGTCAGGAGTGGATTTTGGGGGGCTGGGGAATGAAAGTAGAACAACTGCAGGAAGAAAATTCTGTAGGAGAAAACATTAGAAAGACAAATTAATCTCCTAACAGAATGAAAGGAAATTGGATGTAAAAGAAAGAAGACATGGAAACTGCTTAGAAAAGAGTGAAATGAAGTGCCATAGAAGGGTGTGGAGTTACTCTAATGGAAAGAATGAAAAAGGATGCTTGATGGTGTGATTAAATTAGTGGCTATGAATGAGAAAAGTGGACAGAAGAGGAGGATTTCTAGAAAAATAAGTATGGAAAATACTGTATAATGTTTATACAGAGGAAACATAATTGCAAAGAATGCAGTCAAAGAGATCAAGAAATCATTGAAATTAAAGGAGGTTGATAAAGTGCAAAACAGTTCTGATGAAAATAGAAAGTGATTCTGAAAGTGGATGAAAATGTGGAGAGCCACAGACATGACTTTGGAGAAACTATGTGGTAACAGTTAAAAAAAACATGTTTTAATCCTGGGAAATGTAGAAAACATTAGAAAGAAACTCAAACTGATTCCCCCTTAACTCCCTGGGGCAAAAGAGGGAGGAAAGGGAAAACACAGTGAGGCTTTTAAGTTTCTGTGACTTTAGCCAATACAATACAGGAGAATTCTACCGTTCTTGTGCAGTCTGTTTTCTGACTTGGAAATCGTTGACATTTCAAATGGTTGACAATTAAGAGGACCCTCCAGAAGAAAATAAAAATAAGAGTGATTACATTTGGATGAAACCAAGTGAGGGAATGCTGAAAGGAGTATTTTAGAGATTTATGTGAAAACATCAACAATATGTTGAAGAGTGGAATTGAAACACTATACATGTTAGTGGCCAAGAAAAAAAGGGAATCACAAATGTGATAACAATGAAAAAGCTCCTAAGGCAATCCAAGTGCTTCTCTATACTAAAAAATGTAAGTGCATTAGACTCCTTTGGAATATGAAGAGGTAGGCTGCTTTAGAGTCAGATTTGCTCCTTGATAGTGGAAAAAACTACTAATTACTATGATGAGATGATGTTAAATCTAACTGGATTCCAACCAGAAATCATGCAAACGGGCTCTTCTTTACTGGCTGCAAATTTGGATATTAATTTGGGTGATCCACATCATTTAGATTTCATTATGGAATCTTTAAAAGTTGACTCCTTGTATGGATACTGTCGCCTGTTACTGCTCAAACAGTCATAACAGTCTTACATTAATAACAATTTCTGAAGAACTGGACAAAGTCAAAAAATTGTTAGAAGGTATTAACTAGAAAAATTGGCAAGGCAGCAGCAGCACTTTGAGGTTTGCCCAGGCACAGACAACCAGCAGACTAGTGAACAGGCTGTCTCAGTGGATTCTGCTGACTTGTGCCAAAGCAGGAACCATAAATGACCAGTCAGCTACTCTACTAAGAATGTTTTACAGTAACAACCTACACAGATTTTGTTAACAGTTTATATTTGAAGTTCTGGAGAAAACCAAAACATGCTTCACTCCTTACCTCAGGTTTTACATAGTTCTCTGCATAATATTGACTTGTCCTATTATGAATCCCTTCCCAGCAAATCATCCACAAGAAGACCTTTCTCTATCTTTTGCCAATCTACTATTTCACTATTCCATTGTATTAAAAAAATCTTGCCAAATTTCCAGCAAATTGGATAATACTTAAAGACTTGGATAATCCAGAAGTTGTCACCAGTACCAACACTGATGTCTCATTAACCTTAGAAGCCCAGACTTAGCAAACAAGGAAGAACCCACCCTGACTCAGACACCGACAACAACAAATGATAATTCTAATATATTATACCAGGCAACACTGTTGCTGCAGACAGTGGAACAAAGACTTGTGGACCTGCAGATGCACCTCTTTATCAGAAGATGAGTCACTACGCCTCCCTTCTTCTCTAGTCTCCTGTACGAGACATTGGCTCCAGAAGGATGTCACATTGATTCAACTTTGCGATAAGCCAATTACTTTGGAGTATAACAGAGAGAGAACTTCTGTGGCCATCAATGACTCCTGCCTGAAGAACTCCAACCAGGCAACCTTTTTAATCTGAGAAAGTAGATGGATTCCCATCTCAACATTGTTCTCTAGCGTGCATTTCATGGTCTTGAAGATGCTTCGTTTGTTAGGTACTGTATATCATTAATTATTATTTGCTGTTTTTACA